TGGACAATTTTTGAACTTGATAAAACCCTTGAGATTTTATTTAATTTATTTTTATACTTTGAAGAAACAGATATTGACATTACAAATCTTTACATAGTAAAAAAAAACCATTATGCTTTTTAATTTAATTGTATTCATTTTTGTGTAGTTGTATATATATATATATACAGGGTGTTCCGTAAGTACAGGGAAATATTAAAAGATTTCCAGCAGGAAAGTAGGAATCACAGTTTTGTGCTTTTTTAAGTGTCAAGTTTTTTGTTGAATAGTAAGCAATATCTAAAAAATACTATTCAGTGAATTCAAGTTGGTTGGTTGGCCATTGTATATTATTGAGAAAGGAGATGGTTCGGGGTGGCGGTTATAAAAAGAATAAAATTGTGAAAAAAAAACTATTATATTTCAAGTCAACGGCTCGACCCTAATTTTCAGGTCTTCTTCAGGACTAGAACGGGCAAGACAAAAAGGATATAGAGAAATGTGGAAGTTACATGATATTTAGATAAATATAATAAACAATGTGAATAAAGTTATTAAAATTATAAACAGTGTGAATCGTAAGTACAATAAATTACATAAACAGAGTAAAATAAGTGTAACTAAGCAACTAGACCCTAAACTGAAGTAAACAAATAGTAACAATAATTGTAGGTAAGGAAAATTGAATGTGATAAGAAGAATAGATATTTAATTAAAGCAAAAAGACTATTTAATTTAAGTAGTTACAAATTATTTCATTGTAAACTAGATAAAATTTATTTTAAATTAAACTAGAACTTGTTGTTATTATAACAATTTAAAGAGAACTGTTGAGCGCCTTAACTAAACTAAGTTCACTTTTTAAAAAACTCATAAACTATTCCCGATTTTATTTATCCTCCTCTAATTATATATATTACCGATACCCCACTTTTACAAAAACGTCCTCGTTTAATAAGCTTTAATGCTATATTAATTAATTTGAGGTTTATTAGGAAAAATTTTGTGATTTACCTCAAGTTACGTATAAAAATCAGGTTGTTCATATTCTCGATACGCCTAAAAGTATCAATGTTTTCACCAAAAATTAAAATAATAAATTGTTGCAAAAGCTTTCATTTCTTGCTTATTCATGATTTGAGATGGATTATGTTGACTAATTATTTTTAAAAATATTTTCTATATATCTTTTTTTTTTTTTTAGCTTATAAGATATGAATGAGAAAACAATCAAGTCTCGAAACACCGCTCAAATACATTTATATATTGAAAGATCATTTGGAAACGTAAATTATTACGAAATTTAATTAACACTTAACAGGCGCGAGACGAGTGTGACAACCTAAAACCTGTATAATATTTATCAATATTTATAATAATTGTACAGATTTAATAATTACCTATAGGTATACCTACTGAAGTTCAAAATTTAATATCTTTCTTATTAGTTTATTTACTCATTTATCATGGAAAGATATATAAACGCAGTGCCATATGTATAATTTACAAGTATGTCAAATATAAAATTAAACAGAACATCTAGTAGGTATTATGATGTAATTTCCGAGGACGACTATCATCGCAACGGATGAACAAGTCGATAAATTATTTTAATTTAATTACGAAAACAGGAGCGACCTGAGCGACTGCATAATATTATGAAGCAGGTAGTGTGATAAATCAGTAATAATTAATTAAAGGTATTGTATTTATTAACAAAAGGGAAAATTATTTGAAGCACAATTTGTTGATGATATTCATCACTGCCGCGTGTGTGTGATAGCCGAGTACGTAATATAAGTAATGGTTTGTTTTTTCGTTGTCTGATTTTTATTTGGAAAACAAATATGTTAATGTTCTTGTAATGCTTAATAAATATTCATATAATAAATGATACTTCCGTCCGTTAATTGAAATATGTAAATTATTAAAGCGCTTTTAAAATATCTGCAACGTTCGCTCAGCGGCCCGAAGAGGGAACTAAGTTTAAGTCCCATTTCCAGTTAATGACCAATAACAACAAATTTATTACGATAAATTCTTTTACAAAATATTCCTTAAAATTTTTCAAAAATGCGTAAGATAAGAACTACATCATGTACTCATTCTTTAAACTCCTGTAGGCACAGAGAATTAATATTATACCTAGTTCAGCAATAAAATTCAGATACATAAATGTATTGACAACGTAAATTGTATTCTAAAGAAAAATGAGTTTATAGCACTGAATATTTTATTGAATTTTTCAAAACATTTAGTTGAAAATCTGGTTTTGTTGATCATTAAAACAGCCCTTATCATTATCTGCAAGATAGTTTATTTAGATTTTTTTTTTCAATTATTCAACAACATAAAAAAAAATTAAATAAGAGATTTTTTTTACTGAATAAATTTTTTCTTGGTAGCATATTTGTCTTTAATAATTGCTTAAAATTTTCAAGGATGAAGGCAAATTTTCAGGGATTTAGTCGATATTTTAATTGGGTTAGCCGACGTTTACAGCTACGTACGACGTTTGGAAGTCAAGAAAAGAACCCTTTAAACGATAGCCCCGTTGATAACCCACATACTTGGGTCGAAACGTCAGCAACCCCAATAAAAATATCGACTAAATTTTCTGACAATTTTATTTTTTTAATTTCATTTCGATTTTATTCTTTTTTATATATTTCACATATTTTCATAATATATCTTCACTATAGATATTTTGCAAGTCTATCCTTACGTTTAGTAATAAGGTGTTTTTTTTTATGAGATAGGGTTATTAGCATTAAAATATTATACAGAATCATAACGGAAACAAATTTGTACATTATAATAATCTAATATGATTGGTATAGTCTTCTACACAAGTATAGTAATGCTTTTGTGCTAAAATAGAAATAGTATAAGATCGCAAATAACAAAAATAAGACACGGGGGAAGTCCCTCTATAAAAAAAAAAATGTTGGTTGAAAATAAATTTCAAGACTTTAAAACACCTAGAAAATTTTTAATTATTTTTTTTTTAAATAATCCAATCTGCTACTAAGTTTTAGTGCTCTAAGTTTTCATCCGCACAATTTGAAGTACAGTGAAGAAAAAAAAAATATTTATTCAATAAATATATTTAAAAATAAATTAAAGTAAACTGTTATTCATATTTACCGTTTTTATATTTCGATCTTGTATGTCAACATCATGGCTGTCCAATTACATCGAAGATAGAGGAAGAACTCAATATAAACAGTTAAGTATTAGATTAGTGGTAATGAAGAATTATAAAACAGAAAATCTTATTGTTCAACAGACATAATACGTCACGATATTCTGCTGTTTTGTATTTAAATAAAAATATTTGAGCTGAATTTTAGCCGTATTAATTTGTCATAATAAATGCCAATACAAACACACATGCTATTGAATTATCCAAAAAGAAAAATCAGCTAACAAGGAGAGATAATTATAAAATGGTCAATATTTGCTACAGATATTTCGCTGAGACCAGAGCGAAGGAGACGAAGAAGAAAATTATAATAATAAAAAAAATGTAAGAGGCTATTACTTAATTAGGAGAGAAGGCGGGGAGCGAGATAGCGGCCAGCGCTGACAGAAGACATCCATTAACATTAACATAGGCCGGGATAAAGGACATTACATAAAGGACATAGATTACATAAAAAACTTTCATAAACTTATCAGCCGCTAGCCCATTTGGGGAAGGCCGCCCACGCGCCCCCAATCACATCTGTCACCTCGTGGGCTGTTCACTGTTCACTGTCGACAATACTCCAACAGTAATTAATTCATTGCTAAAAATTATATCTTACCTATAGTTTTTTTTTTTTTTTTTTTTTTGTTAAATAGATCGTAGCGGATACGGAACTCTAGTATCTTTAGACGTGAGAAGGGGGGTTTAATTATGCTGCCATTTCTTACACTCTCTCCCTTTTCGACAGTTATATGACAGTATATAAGGTAATATAGACAGAATAAAACATCATCCCATAACAATAACTCGTTAACGTCAAAACAAGTAAATGAAGACAAAACAAAATATATGATAATAAGCCGAGATTGCACCCTAAAAACAGTATCGCGTAGAAAACCATACCCGAACGTTTACAAATTTAAATACCTCGGATTCACCATAACCACAATTAATGGCCAACGGTCGGGAATAGACCAGCGTGAAACATAGCTTTTTGCTCTCCCTTTTAAAGGTTTTAAAATCACGAAAAATCTCAAGATATCTCAAGGGTGTACAATGCTATGATAAAGTCAGTTCTGTTATATGGCTGTGAGACCTGTACACTAGCCAGTACCCTAGAAAAAAGTATTGAAAGAAAAATCCTCCAAACTATAACTGGAATAATCTGGAATAAGAGTACTAAGTTCATCAAACTGACTACAACTCCATCAATTTAAAAATTATTACTTTAAAATGCTAAATTTCAATTAATAAAATTCATTTTAAGAGCTGTGCAGCGGTTACGTCATCAACCCGTATACAAAAACGTTGAAATTAACCCGCTTAATCTGCTTCGTCTGAAGTCCAAATCCGAAATTCATTTTTGAAATCTCTATCACAATTTCTTTTATCCAACATTTATACAAGCAATACTTTATGACACCAATGAATTTTTAGGTTTATTATAAAAACGTTTTTGTGAATTCTGATCTTATTTACAAAGAGAAAAATGGTACAAACTTATCATATATATATATAAAATGTACGCATTTATGTACTCAATCATTTAATTTCATAAAATATCATTAAATGACTTTTTGTAATAAACCGATAAATGTATGTTTAATAATAATAAAAGGCGAACTCGAAGGTCCGATGCCTATACCAACGTTCGCTGTCTAAGTACGTCCCTCCAAACCCAAACCCACCAGATCAGCCTTAAAGCAATATTACAAACTTAGCTTTAGTCTAAACCTCGAACGTTTACCTGTCTGCACAGCTCAGTTATGTATTTATATATATATACACATTTATATTGATTTATACTTCATCCAAAGCTAAATAATATTCTCTAATGGTCATCAGGATTTATTGAAAATAACTCAAGATCCTTAGAGCATGAAGAAGGCAAACGCCGATACACACTCGGATGGAAGCCGAACAGCTGCTCACCTAACCTGTTCGAAAGCCGTCCGTTAGAGCAGAGACAATGAGGACCAGGGTCAGGGAGGGCAGTGGTGGTAGGTACTTCAACCATGGTCGCCGATGGGACGGGATAAGGGTCGCGAAATGTCAACCCCTATCTCCAGCATTTATCCACAGGTCAGCCTCCAAAGGGGTAAAAAGTAAAAGCAACATGAATGGTCAAAATCACCAATAATACGGCCTTGGAAATGTATGAGGAGTCAATTCCAATAACTGTGAAATATTACACATAAATTCAATTAGACATTACAACGTAGTGTATATAGGTATTTATATCCGGAGTTCTAAGTCAAACTCCTAGTTGAACGCAACTCCCTGAAGAAGACCAGCAAAGTCGGGTCGAAACGTTGGCTTTTAATAAAATAGTTTTACCTCTATTTAGTCTATTTATGACCGCCACCCCGAAGCAGCTTCTTCCTTTATAATGCAACTATCAAATATTCAATATTATAAATGTTTTTCGAGACAGATTGTAATATTGTGAACAAAATAAAAAGACATCACAACCATGAATTAATATATTTATTTATTTATCAACCAAAAATCAATTCTGACTAAAATTAAATTAAATTACTTTGCAGAGAGCAAATTTTGATAGGGACTACACAGCGTCCCATTACAGGATATAAATGATCTCAGCTGATCTCTTGTGGGTTTAAGAATTTTTGTCAGTGGAGTCATGTTGTAGACCTGTCTTTGATGAAAATTTCGTAATTTTCTTGGGCAGTATCTAAAATTTTTGGAATGTTTAAGTCCTTGGGTATTATTTCATAGGTGATAAACAGTAAACGATCGGCTAACTTCCTTGAATGTGGATTGTTCCATTTGCGACATAGAACGTTGCCTTAACTATCTTCCGCAACACACCGCACATTTCTATACCGTAAGTCCAATTGTTTGTTTTTTTAATTAACCGAACACATTAAAAATAACAACACAATAAAACATGCGCTATGGTGAACGCACCTGTCATGGACAGGCTAGACTTTAAATGTAAATAATGAGGTTCCATATTGATTTAAAGTTTCCAATTTCTTCTAGACTGAAGAACAGTGCCCTCTATTGACAACTGTATGAACAACGTTAACAAAATAACATTTTAAAATGCTTATCATTGTTGTTGCTATAGTGCTCTTAAGATCAGTTTCATACCTTTCTACTAACAGTTTCCCTAAAAGTAAGTAGAGCATTTATGTTATCTTGTCTTTAAAGTTAAATAAAGATTTTAGAATTTTTTGAGGTATATACTGGTACTGACCCTCTATCCATTACTAGAACTAGGTGTTTTTTTTTTTGTTTGTTTTGTTTTTAAACGGAGATTATACCTGCACAACAGAATATTTTTTTTCATTTTTAAAGAGTTAAATGGCAAAAGGGGCCCCTAGAGATTCTAAATATCTAACGGGAAAGAACATAACTACGGCGGCATAAGTCAAAAATACAAAAAAAAAAAAAAAACTGAGCTATTTCCATCACTGGCGCGCTTACCCTAAGCATTCTTTAATTTTTTTTTTATAACTGATATTTTCATATCAACGTCTTAGGGAAATTTCTCTCTCAAAATGTTCACTTCAAACTTTTGGTTCTGGCCATCAAACGCCTGAGGAGTACGAAGGATGAATAATGCCCTTACAGCTAGAATGTCCCCACCAAACTGTAAGAGTTTTCGTCTTACTGCCAATTCCGCATGTTTCGTTGATCGTAAGAATGAAACAGTGTGATTGGGATTTTCTACCTCATACACTGTACTCCTCAGGCCTTGCTCCTTCCGATTATTACTTGTTCATTTCGTTTAACAATTTTCTCCGAGATAAATATCAAAAAAACAAAAGCGAAATAAAAACGCATCTCGATGAATATTTTGCAAATAAGTCTCAAAAAGTTTGAGCAGAACAGTTCATACATAGCTCAGTAGATCAACCTTAAACAACAAATAAAGGAAAAGAAAGGAGTTTATGGGACAGACTAATACAATTTTGAATAACAGCTTATTACTAAGAGGATGGAATTCTGAACATTTTCTTCACATAACGTATGCTGACCCAATATTTAAGTTCTGAGATATTTTAATCCAAATAAAAACATTAGTCGAGGAGCAAGCTTAACGCACACACAAAAAAAAAAAATCAAAACGGTTTCAACAATAATATTCGAGCTTAATTCAGACAGATACTCAAATCTGTAGATAAGGTTATTCTATAAAGACAGACACGTGATTGAGGGAGCGAAGGGCTAACAGAAAGAGCCTTTACGACACACTAAAGAGATAGGACACCCCACACCGACACCACAACACACCACCACGCCAGCGCCCCGCGACGATTACCTTTTACTGCCCTCCATCACCTCTTCCTTTATCCCCCGTCTTCCTCCTTTATGGTCCATCCTATAAAACCTTCTTCAGTCGACGTCTCGACCCGAATTAGCTACTGGAGAATCCTCATCAAGCGTAATTCAGAATTTTCTCACGTACCCAAGAAGGAAGAAATAAATGGATTTTTTTTTTTTAATTTTAGTAAATTCTGTTTAGTGCAATTAACGAAAAATAGTACGATTAGGAAAAATATTTGATTTTTCATACTTTAAGTAAAAATAATAAAAGGTTATAACGTAAATTGAGGATGGTAGGAGTAACAGCGAAATTTACAAATAAGAATTTAAAATTTGATTTGGGCCGAAGTTTCAGACCTTCATCAGGCCTGAGGAGGAAATGAAAGGTAACAACTATACAAACTATATTATAGACATATAAAAATATAGAGGAAGGAGATAAAGTGGCGGTCATAAAAAGGCTAAATAGTAGAAAAACTATTTTATTTCAAGCCAACGTTTCGACCCGAATACAGGTCTTCTTCAGGGAGGTGCGTTTAGAAAGGAATTTCAGTTAAAACTTTTAAAACTTAGTTTTAATTGAAATTCCCTTCTGAACGGACCTCCCTGAAGAAGACCTGCAAAGTTGGGTCGAAACGTTGGCTTGAAATAAAATAAGTTTTCCACTATTTCAGCCTCTTTATGACCGCCACCCCGGACCATCTCCTTACTCTAAAATATAGAACGGTCACAACCATAAAGTATTCAATATATAGAAATATATGAAATCAAAAACTATAAAAACTGTGTGAATTTTCCGTCGATTGAAGAATTTTCTTGCGATGTTGAATTTTATGTTACTTAATTTGGGTTAATATTCGTCATTTTTTACTTCCTCGAATAGATCTGTAACTATATCTAGTATCTTAAACTAATTTAAAAACAACTGATATCATATTTACTTGTACCTTGTACCAATAAACAATTTTTTTTATATCGATATTTTAACCTTGATGAAGATTTACTATTTAGGTCGAAACGTTGAAAATTGAAATAAATATCCGTAAATACGAGTGACTATTGACCGCACTCTTTCTCGCAACTTCTTAAAAAAGACAAAATCAATTTGTACTCACTCTATATTAGGATCCATGATTCTCATACTCATTTAGAAAGCCTTAATTAATCGTTAATGGAGAAATCAAAACATCAAGGAATTACTCACCTGAAACATACAAAAACAACATACAATTAGAAGATATGATAGGAAAAGATATTACATAACTAAATATATAGTAATGATAGCCTGTAATATAAATGTAAATTGTACAATTATCCTAAGGGAAAGCAATCAATCAGTCGGCTCAGGTTCAAAGAGATCCTCTCTCTCTCTCTCTTTTTCTCGGCAGTGCCGCTGCGGTTTCCATTCAGTCCGCTTCCATCAACTATATATTATTATTGCTACGTTTTATTCGGTTTACTTTTTGTCTTCTTTATTCCTCTTTGATTAAAAATATTAAAGCATGATTACAAATTTTCTTTTTTAACTCAAAAAATACCAGAAAAAAAAATAAAGTGAATCGGTTTTCTGAAATACTTTTATTTTAATACCTTTTAAGGCCGAGGGCAAAGGCATCCTTTATGGATACCACCACTTTTCATTTTTTTTTTTTTTTAATTAAAGATAACATTACAGAGTTGTAACATCTGTGAATTCTTTCAATATTATCAGCTGATTAGACTAAACCCGGTAACAGCTTTGACTTCTTACTTTGTAATGTTAGTGATATCCTAAAGACAGCTTAGCGCCTCAATACAATGAAATTAAAACTTTTATTGAATCATAATACATCTTTTCGATTGCATTAGTTTGCAAAAGATTTGCATATTATTATTTTTTTAATAAGAGCAATACTAATTTATAATTAATAAGTATACATGTTAAAGATATGAATTTACTTTATTCATCATTAAGTTAATTTAATCATATTATTTTCTTTTGTAATTTCACCACAGTTGAACAGTGCACTCATTAATGCTTCTCTCGCTCCAGAATTGATTAATGTTCCTGTCCATCTGGGTCCCATTCTGAGTTAAAACTCGTAAAACAAAATTATAAGATAATTACGCGGTGAGAATTATTTCTAAGCAGCTAAATGGCACAGAAGTAAACAAACATTGTCGTTTGGAACATGATTATAAGTGTTGATATTCATACAAATGAATAACCCAGTAAACACGTAAGCAATTTGTTATATGGAGGGGTATTTTAAACAAAACTCAAAATTTTGCATTATTTTCCGAACAATCCAATATTTATACTATCTATTATATCGAATATTTAATAGTTGACCGTTGCATTATAAGGGAAGGAGATGGTCCGGGATTGCGGTCATAAATAGGCTAAATACTGGTAAAACTATTTTATTGAAAGCCGACGTTTCGACCCGACTTTGCAGGTCTTCAACAGGGAGGTGTGTTCATCTAGGAGTTTCACTTAGAATTGAATGAACACACCTCCCTGATGAAGACCTGCAAAGTCGGGTCGAAACGCCGGCTTTCAATAAAATAGTTTTACCACTATTTAGCCTATTTATGACCGCAATCCCGGACCATCCTTCCTTTATCTAATATACTAGTAAATGTTATAAATAAACTCTTTACTCACAATTACCAATTTAGAATGAAATTTTACTTAATTAAAAAGAAAAGAAAGGAAATATGTACGTTTTAGAAACCAAACAATTAAATATTAATTTTTAATTTAGTGTTCTCGATCAATCTCCGCTGGCTTCAGCCCCAGTGACGCGATTGGGAGAGTAGAGCAGGGTTCTCCTGGAGTTCCCTCGCCTGATTGTATAAAAGTATGCATGTGTTTTTTTGTTTTTTTTTTTGTTTTTTGCTTAGTTTTAATTTTCTTATTTTTTAGGTTATTTTATTTTATTATCTATTGTATATACTTTTGATTATAATTTTGTTTCTATTTATTCTATTTTTTTGTACATATATTGTGAATGTCATCACTATAATTAATGTCCAAGAGACAGATTGTTATAATACTCAATAAAAAAAAAATATTTTTTATTTACAATATGTATTACAATTAACCATTAAATATATCCGAAATAGTATACTATTGAGCATTAGGTACGGTCGAAGATCTACTGAAGGCACATGATGAATTTATAAATATAATTTAAACAAAGAATGTATTATTTTTATTAGTACAAAAATACGATTCATTACAAGGGCGAAGCAAGATCAAACTCGAAGTTAGCAATCAATTTAAATTTGGGGGAATTACTTATTATTCCGCAATTATTTTCTTTCAGAATTTTTAAATACTAACAATTAGCCTATCGTTATTATAACTGTAGGTGATAAAAACAATGCAAGCTAAAATTATATAAATATTAATACAAAGTGCTTCATAATATTTAATATATATACAAATAATAATAAACGGAATGATAGCCAAAAAGTTGGCTTAGAACCAAGATGGAGTAATGATATCTTCCATACCATCTGAGGAGCCATCACCGGAGATCGAAGCCCTTCCTCTTTAGCCTGATTGAACCTAGTCAGCACCCATGTCATACCTTCCCTACGGTTACAACTGCAAATAGGTCTACTTCCTCATCATGCTATAGCAATTATATACTTCCATAATTCTGATGCAAAGGAATATAATATACATAAAATAATTTAACATTCATCAATAGGAAATAAAAGATTTTATATATTTTTTTTCAAAAATTAACAAAAAAGTCATAGATCAGATTATAAAAACTTAAATATGGACTTAAACTTAAAGTTAAGTCTTAATGGGCAAGAACTGAATGGAGTTGGCTAATAATATTTATCCCCATTATATACCATTCACGCCAAGAACTATTGAGGATTGGACATCAAATAACCTTTTATTTATTAAAATTAGAAAATTTTAGGCGAGCAGAATATCAGACATGAATAGAGACAATCAATAATAACAGAAGAGGATAAGTAGTCCACTGATGAACTCTACGGATGAAACAGAATTGTAAGAAATTTCAGCATAGCTCCCTTTAATGAATAAGCAAACGTTTTGAACCGAACATTAGGGCTAAAAATTACAAAATATAACAACTACGAATCAGAAATATAAATGTGTAAGGGTGTATAATATAATAAGGATGAAGAATAATAGAAACAAGATGATAGTAATAATACTAAATTTATAACAGTCATCTCATTCGTTTAGAAGTATGTGGGTAGTTATTTTCATTAGCTTAGTTTAGTTTTGTTTAGTTTAGTTTTATACATATATTTTAAGGATTATTATTTATTGTGAATGTGCTGTTCGAACACTGTTATAAATGTCCTTAATTGTGACGGATTGTAATACCTCTCAATAAATATATTTAAAAAAAAAAATTGTACATCTCATTCATAAATTCCACCTTTTATTTTCAGTATACTTCTACATTTATCATTTTGCAGAATGTTTTCTCTTGTTACAATTATCTTACTTACTTATTCTCATTACTCTCATCTTGTTACTGTAATTCCTCACTTTTATTACCCTTACACGTTTATATTTATTACTTTACTGAAGTTATTTTATGGGTGATAAATATTCAGGATACAGTCATTATAAAGTTTTTATTAGTGCTGATGTTTCAACCCAAACATGTTGGTCATCATCAGGGCGTACTCCGTACTTCAGTGCTCGAAACATACCCTGATGATGACGTATGTTTGGGTTCAAACGTCGGCACCAATAAAATCTTTATAACGACTACGTCTTGAATGTTTATCGCCCATGATATTTAGAACAGTCGACTAACTTCCTTCTATATTATATATTTTGTAATTTTTAGCCCTCATCACTAACGGATCCAGGATTTAATTTTGGGGGGGGGGGCTTCAGCACGAAACATTTTTCGTTTTAATGTATATATTAAGATAATTTCTTTAGAAGAATGAAAGTAACTAAATACCAATATGAAATGGTGGTTAAGTGATTCTTTAAGTCCTATTAAATGTAATGAGACGAACAATACTTTTTCAGAAAAAAAAGTTGTATTTTCTCATTTTGGGGGGAAGGCTTCGGCACGAAAGCCTCACCCCCTCTCGTAGATCCGCCTGTGGCTCTGAAGACTCCCATGTTGGGTCGAAATGTCAACAACTCATTAAAGAAATTTTGACAATTTTATTCCATTCTAATAATAATAGTAGTACCATTAGGCCTACATTTTAGGCTTTTGGTAATGACATTCAATTTGTCTGAAATTGTCCAACTCAACAAGATTAGGCACTTAGTTCGTTATTGATATATATGATTATTATATACCCAATTCTTTGTAATTTTTATTCTTTTCCGTATACCTAACAGACAACTGATTTGAAGGCTGGGTGAAGGTGAATCAGTAAGCGCATTGACACAACTATACAGTTGGAAGATAATATATGTTGGCGACGGACAGATCGAGCACTTCACGCCATATTAGCTCCGGCATTGACACCTCCACACGTCCGCAGGAACAACGGTCCCAAGAAGGATTCAATAATTAGTCCTCGTCGGTGATTGGCAACAATGATGGATGGTCACTATTGTTTCCTTCATATCATCCAGTGTCTGCTAGTAAGCGTTAATTGAAGGTACAATTGGATAAAGGCGATAAGTTTATTTTTTTCGAAACAAAATGAAGACAAAATTATAGTTACAGATAAAATGATAAACTATTAATACTTCATCTTTCTATTCGCGCAAATATAATATTTGGTTAATATCCTAGTTTCAACCGAAGTCCAGTCAAGAAATAACCGTTATTTGAAGTGACTCAGGTATGATTATTCATAAGATCAAATTACAACGATAGAAAAATATTTTAAAAATTGCGAGGTGTTTAGAGTGGACTGAATTCAAATAACACTATTTACTGAGAAAACCTGTTGATGCAAACAAAAAAATAAAAAAAATTTAAGAGCCGAGCTGATCACCACCACCACGTAACACGATACTCGCCGCAGAGCCGGAGTAATATTTAAAGCAGGAAACTCGTCCAGAAATGCACTTTAGCCTCAAACACACATTGCACTGGCAGTTGCATTTCCATATGCACATATGGATGTATGCAAAGTCCCACCTCGCTGGTAATTGCAGGGGTGGTCCATGTGTCATCAGGAGTGCTCGTACCAATTAGTCTTCCTTCCTCATGCCACTTCTTCAGCCGACCCCTGAAGAACTACGCCAGTAGCTGCGGCCGACGTGGAAGGCATAGAAAAAGAAACGGCTTTAATTCGGGCGACGATCTGGGCTACGGGAGCTGGGGCATTTTTCACGGAAGGCTCATCTATCACCCGGAGGCAATCTGTGACTAGGGGAGTCCGGAGTCCGGAGCACTGCTGAGGGAAAGAAATAATAATCCAACAATTGCAGGACATTACCAAACCGCTTTCTTTCCCAACTACCGGTACGACATACTTTTTTTTCTTCTTCATCCTCATCGTCCTGAGGAAGGAAAGAGCCCTGCCGAAACAATGGGGTAGGAGTCACAGTTAGCCTGGATTAGGTACGGCATTGACCGCAGTCCTTCGTCCGGAAAGTGTCAACTTCGAGCAAGGAATTTAGAAGAAAAACATTTGAAATGCTCAGTAATTAGAAATTGGTTATACAATCTGCGCATCACACAACATTCAATTACCATTCTACTCTGAATAGTCATTATGTAACAATTCATACAATGAAATTACTAGAAACTTTGATAAATTTTCTCTATGTGAAATCAGAATATTATGCAATTATTGTATTTTTGAATAGACCAAGTGGAAATTCATTAAACGGACTTTAAAGTTTAATTTTATCAAAAATGTATTTAGTGATTTATTGCAAGATAATAAAGATATTTTTTGTAAAATTGGGTTATTATTACAAGTTTTTGAAGTGTATTTTTAGTGGAGCTAAACCTTAAAGAATACTCTTCTGGATGTCTTTAACTTTCTAATATATGCAATGAAACTGAGAATTTTTCCAAAAGATACATTTTCTCCACAATCATTAGTAATGTTTGATAATATAAACAATCGTAAAATGAAAAGCGAAGCAAATATATAAATTTAACTGATTCGTTTCCATTTCGATTTTTTCCTATAAGATAATACCTATCTTCTCTAAGGTTATTAAGTAAAAGTTGTGTGATGCGCACTGCATCAGATTTTTCCGTTTTGTAATTTATAAACCTTTCTAAATACCATGGGTATAATCATATATAACCATGAGTTATACTAAAATAATTTTTTCTTTTGTTTACAACTTTTTTCCTGGAGAATGGAAAATTTCCGACATTGATAGAGAAAACTCCAATTTTTAATAATCTTCGAAATGATGGGTTGATCATTGGATTTTATGAAGAATTAACGAAGACATAGGATATATACAAAATATAGCTTATAGAAATAATATATCAATAAAAAAAAATAGCATATATATGTTAGAAAATGATTTAAACGATAATAAATAATAAAGTTAAAGAGATGCTAGGAGGAAGGATTATAAAGTTGTCAGGCTGACGGGGAGGGGGAGATACACACTAAATCAGCTAAGAGTAGACACCGCATATGGACGGACAAGAAAAAGCCCTCCGGAGAGAGGAATATATTTGGACGGGGTAGGAAGACAGGAAGACATGTTACCCCTAAGTGGACAAAAACCTCCTTCGGCATCTGGACCATGTGCCACGGCATCCACTGTCTTAGTCACCCCTCTTCTTATAGCCATCAAATTTATTTCATAGTATATTAAATATTCATAGTCGGTTTAGTGATCAGCAAAATCCAAAACATTAATTTTTTTTTACAATAATTCGCGCTTCCTTACAACTTATGGAAGCAATATGTTCATAATTAAAAAAAAAAATAATACATAAGAATCAAAAATTTTTACTAGCATTGCTACCTTTTGGACATCAAGCAACTAATTTGGATCCAGGTCAGACAAGACAGACGGTCTGAACACATAATATTGCAATATTCCCTACGGTTAATGTGATCTTATGTAATTTTCGAGGATTGTGTGAATTGGTACTTAAATGGTCCCATATTGATTTTGTCAAATTCCTTTTTGACAATTTGGGATGCATAAACGGAAACGGCACATTGAATTTTACCTTTAGTTGTAGGAAGTTTGAAGAATGATACATAAACGGTCTGGTATCAGTTTTCATTTAACAATTAAAATTATTGTGATTATTGAGAATAAAATGACTATAAATATATATGCATTAAAATATATACCAATGGGAAGTTATATTATTTTTTTTTTTAGCTAATGGTAATTTATTAAGCGTGATTTTATTGGATTGTTCTGTTTGGCTATAAATAAAATTATGGTTTAAGTGAAGTGTAAGAGCATTTGCTGATGTACGAAATAAAAACGGTGAGGAAGATTTGTTGATTTACTTGGCAAACGTTTTCAATTCTAGTTTTTTAGAAGTTTACGTACAAAATGTAGATAATATTATTAAATCCAAGCATGGATTTACAGATTAATGCTGACTTTTTTAAAGCACTTTGACGCCATAAAAATGGTGGGACAATGCTGCGTGAAACACTATGCA